TTTTTTTTTTTTTTTTCGTTGAGCCGTTTTCTTGTTTTCTTGCTCACCGCAAGCCTCTAATGAAAAAAGGACTTCTGCGGCAAGGACTACAACTTCCACAATTCTCAAAATTTTCACTCAAAATTTCAGACGAATTAAGTTAAGGACACGTACTTTGATAAAATATATATTGAATTTAAATAAAACAATGGCAACATGCTAAAAAAAAATAAATAAAAACCCTGTATTTCTCTGGTCAAAAAGGTATATAACCCCTTAAACAAAATTCAAATTACATATACTTCACTTTTCTGAGGCATAAATGTTTCTTAGAAGGGTGCCATGCATTAGAATGATTCCCCCAATATCTTTTAACTTCAGTGATCGCTGCTGCTGGCCATTTGAAAATTTCTAACCGAGAGGCTTTATTTTTTGAAGAGCCCTCAGGCAGGCAGTGGGAATTTTGGAATTGAGTAAATTGACCCTCGTGGGCGACTCAATGGGAGTTATGTTGTTCTTTTGGACCTCCCCGCGGGGGTTAAATCCCCTCATCCCCCATCTCCCCGCATTGTGATGTAGCGGTCCCCATGCCGTCAAACTCGCTGTGCACTTGGCAAAAGTTTCGGGGCCAGAAAACCGCAGCAAAAGTGGCCCTAACCCCGAAATCCATTTTGCACCACCCATCGAAGTGCATGCCGATATGTGTACATATATAGCTATTTATATAGGGATTGGGGGGAGGGGAAGGGGAAGGGGTGGCAGTGTCAAGTCGGAGACATGCATAACGGTATACAGATATGGACAAAGACTGAAGTTCGTTGCTGTTCTGTTTCAGTTTCGGTTTCAGCCTGAGCATATGTCTTAATTTTTGACCGAAGTTTCCCAGGAAAACCCCCTCCCCCATCCCCCATCCCCCTTCTCTTTCGTTTTCCCGGCCATTCTGTTGTTGTTGTTGTTGGTGTTTGAAATAAACTTTAATGAGTTTTCTGCTTTTCAGCCACAAAAACCACTTAACCGGCACATATGCAAGCAGAGGGTAGGACAAAAGGGGCGGGAAGCTGCAGAAACTTTAGCCGGCTCTGAACATTTTTGGCCAGCCAAGTTAACATCGCACACAAACACATTTGGGGCTTTAAATATATATATGTTTATGTGTATGTGTATACATATATGTATATATAGAAGAAGGGAGGCAATGACCAGCGGCAGAGGCAAAGAGAAAAGGAAAAAAAACGAGGCGGCTGCTAAAAATTTGAGCGCATGTAAATTTTTGTGGGGCAGGAAAACTAGTAGCAAATGAAGTAAAAAGGATGTGGCATAAGGCTGCTGCCCCAACCGACATTTATGGCCGGCAAATTTCCCGCTTAGTGCTAACCAATCAACTGTGGCAAGTCCGGTTCCATTTTCTGGGCCAGCAGTTCCTTCGATCCCCGTTCCCCATCCCCATCCCCATCCCCATCTCCATTCCCATCACTTGTACCCCAAACCCAATCCCAATCTCAATCCCAATCCCATTCCCGACCTGTCGTTCCAGCTGCCGCTTCGTAAATTTAATTTCTGACTAACGACAACATGTCGTATGAGTAATGCAAGACCTTTCAATTCAGTATTTTTAGGAATTCCTTCCTTTTTTTTACATTCAGCTTAGTAAGTCAGTATTCAAATGTCTCTCGGCTAATAAAACGGTCATTCACTGGAGTGGAAAGGGGGCGAGGGGGGGGCGTGGCAGGTCAGCATTGTCAAAGTTTTATGAGCGGTCAAGCTCGCGCATTTCAAGCGTCTTTTGCTTAATTACATTTGCAGCACACTCGGTTGAGCTGCTGGATATCCTGGAATATGAATGGGTATATATGTGCTCATATAGCTATATTTTCTAGGATTTTATAGATTATGTTTGTTTTGATTTTTGTAGAAACGTTTGAACAAATAGTTGCTTTTCTGGTAAATGGTTAATTATCTTTACTACTATATGGAACAAGGTTTTAAATATTACTAATTTTTTTAAGGGTAAAACTTTTATAATGAACATCTAAAGTTTAATAAGCAATATATTTTCGTGTAAGGTTTTTATACGTAATATAAATGCTTATTGGGTTTTTAAAAGGTAAGCCCTTTTCCCAACTGAAGGGTATTATTGAAGTCTATTTATGTGTGGAAATGCCATGTAATTTTTTGCTGGCCAGCTTCATAACTCTCTCAATATGTGTGGCTGGGTGCTCCGAAAGTCGCCGCATGGCAGACCATGTACAGACATCTGTCGGTGGTCATTTTCCAGTTGCCATCCCCCCTGCTCCTCCTTCGCCGTGATGCCCCTGATTTTTTTTCAGTGTTGGTCCTGCAATTACTTTGTGGCCAAAGCCAAAAACTAAATGTGGACGCGACGCAGCTGCCGTTAGCATAAAGTAATCAAAAAAGTTTTGCTTTATTGTGGGGCAGCCCACTCATCATCATCACCATTGAAGCTGCAAAAAAGCCATAGCTTTCTATATTCTCCCTCTCTTCGTATATATATATGTATTTATTTATATACATATTTTTGTTATTTCCTGGTTGAAATGCAACCTTGAGTCCGAATGAAATAAAAAATTGATAAGTTCTGCTCACCGATTTCTGGCTTTGTCTTAGTTTCCCATTGGCTGGCAAACTTAATTGTACACTGACTGGCAGCAGAAGAAAATAGAAAATCAGAAGCTAAAGCCGAGGCGACGTATAGAGTGCTAGGGCAATTTGGTATTATTCGCACGTAATTCGATGAAATTTTAATAATCCAGCTACGAAGGTAATAAAGAACTTTTGGACATGTGCGGCTGAAGGCCGTTTCCTGTCTCACGTGTGTTGTTTTCAGAGGTAGCAGGGTGTACATTGGTTTAAATAAATAACGAAATGATATGAAACATTTCACAAAATAATGGAAAGTAAGATCCAAAAAAGTTGGATATATTTGTAGTGCTGTATACCCGTAGTTTTTAAATCTTTTAATATATTCTTATGATGCTTTTGCTGTATCTATTTTTGTTAGGGTATTCCCTTTTCTAATACCTACCTTTTCAAGGGTCTGACACCTGCAGGCAGCACCACCCAACCACCCAACCACTGCCCCACTATTGAACAACTTGATTGGGCTTTTGACTTGATTTCGCATTGATTGCAATTGCAATTTTAGCTTTTGCCGGCGCAGAGGGCGCGGGAAATTAATTAAAATTACTTACCGACTGGCAAACATTTCACTTGATTTCTCTATTATTGGGCGCCAATTAATTTGCTTAAATTTTCGTGCCGAACAAAACACGAGCAATGCTAAAAATTTAATTAAAATTGAGCAAACAAACAAACATTCAACGGGGCAGCTAGTTAGTTCAGTTCAGTTCGGTTCGGTTCGGTTCGGACCACTTTGTAGCTAAAAAAGTGCGGTGGAATGGGCAGTTCTTCAGAACTCATCCTCCGCCAGAGGAACAAGTGCTGTGCAAACACATGACGCATACGCCGTGGCGGCCCAAAAAAGCGAATTTCATTTGTGGCAAATGGCAAATGGCAGCAAACTAAATTGCTCAAAAGAGCCAACAGGGGCACAAACACACACTACACACGCCACACACACACTAAACACTCACACGCATACACACACACACACACAGAGAGAAGCATAAAGTGGTTCTGGCCAAGACTGGCCAGAATCTCGGCACTCGGCACTCGAAACTCGACACTTCCCCCTTGCGTTCACTTCCTTGGTCTTATTAAAAGTTGCTGGCATTCTTGTGTTTACCTAGCACAAATGTCAAATCAGATGGAAAAATGCGCACGAAATGCAGGCAGGACGCAGGAAGCGAGGACTCGCCTCTCGGAAGCCAGGACTCTAAACTCTGCACGCAGGACTCGGGACTCAGGACTCTGGAGTCAGGTTGCTCATGCCAGATACTTCTGCATTCGCAGGATGCGGAAAGAGCTGCGAAAATTATTCAGCAAAAGTATAAGGCTGCAGAGCTTTTCGTTCAATGAAGCTCTGATTTGCTTTAAAAGAATAAGCTTGTTTTTCATCTAGTAAAAGTCTTTAAAATAATTAAGTAATTTAAATGTTTGGAAGCAATTTCCACTGTATTTATTACTTTGCATATCAAATATTTTATTATTCAATATAATAGTTATTAAATGCAAGTTGACTGCCTGAATTACTTGTTGCCCTTTTATTCATAACATGTTATTATATTAGTAAAATTATTTTGTATTCCTATTGAACATCTATAAAATGTAAATGAAGCGTTAGTCGTGTGAATCCTTAGAATTTGATCAATTGCCTTTGCAGTTCCCTTCGGCTGGCAGTCAATAAAGTCAACTCTTCAATGGCACTTGCCAACATTCCACTTCCGACTAACTACGCTGCGATTCAACGAACTCGCACAGCCAAGAGCTAAGCCCCATCCGTCGTCGTTTCCTTCCTCCTCCTCCTCTGTTTTTGTTCCTTGTTTTTTTTTTTTGTTGCCAGGACTTGCCACGTGTTTCCAGTTTGTCCTGGAATGTAAACAGAAAACGTAAACAAACGCCGGCAAAACGAAATCCACCACGAGGTGGACGAGAAGTCGGACTTCGGTTCGGAATTGAGTCGGGTGCGTTCGGCTGTTATCCTGTCGGGTGGTCGAAAGGCCTTCGGCCAAGGATTCGACGGAGGGGCGCAGGCGCCGATGGCCAGTTTTGTAAACAGGAAGCGAGGCCAAGGGCCGCCGGACTGCTCCACAGCCAACGGCAATCCTGAAGGACCCGAGTGGCCAGCCGAAGGGTCCTTCGGCTGATTTGCTGGCTTTTGCCGAGCAGCCGAGGGCCGGTTGTCCTCGCAGGACTCGAGTCTCTGTTGTGGCGTCTTCTTCAGCCGCGCAACAGTTTTGTTTGAAGCGTCAACACGTGCGGTAGTCAGTCGTCCTTGGTCCTGCTCACCGACAGTCCTTTCACCAACAACCATTTCACTCGAATTATGGCCAGGACTCGTTGAGCCTGCTTTCGCGTAGCGGGAAACATGTAAATTTCCAAGTGCACTTCAGCAAGTCAGCAATCGAAAATAAATTCAATTGAGTTACACCTCCCCCCATTCGAAAAAGAGACCGTCTCGAGTGCCGCCGAATGCCAATCCAGAAATACAACTAATAATGAACAGCGATTTAACCAACTTAACCGATTTATTAATGATTTTTGTTGTTTTTGTTGCGTGCCACCGCCATTAATCCGAAGTAGAGAGAAATAGAGAAGAGAAAAGGCGAGAAGAGGAGTCAGTCGGGCGGCAGAATTAATCAAATTAAAAGGTAAAGCCAATGAAATTCCTCGAGCAACTAATGAGAGGCTTCCACAAAACCCGAAAAACACAAGCGGCAACTTTTCTGTCAAAAACAAATTGCAACCGCAACCGAATCAAAGCGAAGCCAAAAGTCATTGGGGACCCCCAAAAGCCTCCTTAAACTCCCTCTTTCCCAGACAAAAAAAGGCCCCGCTGAATCAACGTAATTTGTGCTCATTATAATCAAACAGGGAAAACAAACTCACATGGTTATTTCGGCGTTGCCTGGTAATTTTCATTAGCCAAGTTGCCGCCCACTTTTGGTCCTTCGTTGAATAGCTGTTGCCAATGTCAGAAAATCGAAGACAAAGCCAAACGCTTGTTGACTAATCGTTTCTCGATTGCATTTTAAATGGGAACTTCGAGTGCCGGAAACGGAAGTGCAGTCGCCCAACAAACGCCGCACTTTCTGCAGTTCCAAACAAAACAGGGGAACCCCCGAAGATTTCCGCTACACAGAGTGTCACATTTAAGTGGAGTGAATATTTGAATAGTGCTCTGCTAGTTTCTCATTCACTGTATGCTCTCAAATATTTTCACAAATTCTGCATGCAAAGATTTGAGCACAGTCAAGTTGACTTTTGTTTCGGGAAACAAGTCACAAAGACTTCTGAGCAGGAATTATTAAGATTTATGAGTGCGATGTTAAAGTGTTTTGAGTTTGCAGGTAGATTTTTCAAATGCGTTAAAAATTTGTAATTCAGAGAACTGATTTCTTTTCAGATTTCAAATCAATTAGTCAATTGATTTCCGTAAAGATTTCAAATCAATGGTTTAAATCGTATTTTATAGTAATCAAATTATAAATTGAACAATTTAACTTCCAATTAGTTAATACAAATTAAAATTCTCTTGATTAACAATCATTTGTTAAGTGCTGATCTTGTCATAATTTTTAAATGAACGCACTTGAAAGCCATGCATATTTGCAATTCGATTTATATTAACAAAAATCCAAATAATTTAATCGTGATAAGAGGTGTGCACTTGAGGGCTAATTTGATAATAATAATTATAAAATATAAAAACGAGTGCTTTAATTACGACAGCCAAGTGATTTTGATAAGCGGCTGTGCCACGAATTCCCTCGGTGGCCATAATAATGGTTTAATTGCTGCGGATTAGTTCGAGCGTAGCGATTGTAATCAATGGGAAGCAGACTGCTCTTACGTGAATATTTATGGCAAATATATTCCATCAAATTTTCATCAATCAAATGGCCAATTTTTGAGCAAACAACAGTCTCGTTTTACCCAGCCAAACACACACACACGCACACACAATTTTGGCACAACAGGAAACAAAACAGAACAAAAAAAAAGGAAAAATTGCACAAATATTTGCCAACAATTTCCCCGAACGGCGTCGCCATCAACATCATCAGGAGGCTGCCGACAATAAAATCAAGCTGGCAATTTATTTGCCATTTTTTTCCCATGTTTTCCATGCAGCTCGCACTCGCACTCGCAGGAAAATAGCCGAGCGAAATCAAAACGAAATTAATAAAAAAGAATTTTCATAAAAATTTGGCGCGCACATGTAGAACGAGCGGCTTCCTCCTCCTCTTCCATCCGTTTGAGCTTTTGTCTGTCGTCACAGTCGCCAATCAAGTTGCATTCACCGGCTTAGAGTCCTTTGTCCTCGCTGAGATCCTGGAAAATAAAGCCTTAGCAAGCTACTCCTGTCTGCCATTTGACTTCGCTTTTTTGTGCTACGAATAAGTTTGCCATTTTTATAGTATTTAAATCTTCGGGAAAAGACTCTTATAAGTTTGCCATCCTGATTTGCCTTTAGTTATTTCACTATTTCTTTGCATAAAAAAGTAAAATTCCGGCGAATGTAATATTATGTCAGCAAATTTTACAATTTTGATTGGGTTCTGTTCTATTTTCGTGTGTTTATAAATCAAACATTTGCATAGGGAACTCGAAAACTGAAATACCAATTTATCAAATTAAATGTTGCAGCCGCAAAAGGGATACAATTTATTTCGGGGGATATTACAAATGTGTTCTTCTGCGGGGGAAAATTTCATTGGCACCTTTCCCAGCGGCACTTTTTGTCCCCTATTTGTGTGTTTTTTTTTTTTTTTTTTTTTTTTTGGCCATTTGCGTGTTCATGACGCAACATTTGCGGTTGTTTATGTTTTTGAGGTCGCATATCGTGGTTGGCCAATTGTTATGCGCATTTCGTTTAATTGCACACACTCACACACTCACGAACACACACATGAACACTCGGCAGTTTTGTGGTGACACCGTCGTCGTCATCGTCATCGTCATCGTCCGTTTAGGTGTTAATATTTCAATTAGCAGTCGTTTAGGTTTACGTATCGCCCGGAATTTGCCGTAATGCTCCACGCAACTGTTACGGGAAAAGTCGTAACGCACACGCCATGTGCTTGATTTTCACTGCGGCTTCTGTATGCTGCTTTTCCATCCCTCCCCTTCCTTCGTTAATGTTTTCCATGAACCCGAGTTAGTTTTACAACTGATTTCTACGGCCGAGCACTTAACTTGACCAGATTGCAGCGCATTTTATTGGGCATCATCTGGCCGATCTGCGGCCAAGTGGTAAATCCCGTGAAATACACTAAATAAGTTGGCGAAGCCAGCAAACTAGTTTGATCAACTTGGACGGAACGAGAAGTTCTAAGGCTGCTGTCGGAAAAAGTAATTAGTTGAGAAAATCTGGAAGACCAGAAGTAAAGGATTTGGTTGGAAAGTTTAGTTGCGGATTGTGTTGTGCATTTTCTGTTTGCTAGAAATGGTTGTGCAATTAATGAAAAAAGCCGTCTTTAAAATAAGATAACATTCAAATGAGTTATTTTTATGATAAATAACAAATAAACGATTTTGTTTCAGAAGTTGCAATTGAGAACTAACACAAAATAACCCATAATGTGTAAAAGGAACTTACAAATAGAAAACAAAAATCTTAGGCAATTCGTTTTCGATTTCTTTTTTATTCAACTATTTATTGTGTAAACTTTGCGTTTATCTGCCAACAAACAAGTTGACTACACAATTTAAAACGCATTTGCAGGGTTCCTTTGAAAATCTCCCTTCGAAACTAAAAACACGATCTCTCTGGACCCATTCTGCGCACAATGGTCTTCTGGTCGACTAATTTGCAAATAAATTGATTCGAAACTGAAATAATTGCATGCGGTGCGGGCGAACAAATAAATGAATTGCAATAAAATAAAAGAATGTACTTATTTGATCCCTCAAGGAAAGCGGCGTACATGTGTTTCCATAGCCAGTATATATTAATATATACATGCGTATATATTTATATATATAGTAGATTTAAAAACATTTGCTTATCATTTTTATTATGAGTTGTAGGCGGCGAAGGCAGAAAAACTTTTCAATAATGAATATGCAACAGTAAATGGCCAGCGAGAGGTGGTTTCACTGTGTTTTTTGAACATTTTAATATGCATGGCAGGGCCCGCCGACACATTGCGAAAATGAAAAGAACAAAAGGTTGTGGGGAAAAGCGGGTGAAGTGGGGAAGTGGCGGGGGGCTTTTCCGGGGCATGGTTAAAAATAGGGGGTGGCGTGGATCAGAGAAAGCCGAGGGCTGGAGGTCGGTGGAGAAAAACCGCCGGCGGCAAACGAAATAAATTTGTCAGCCATTGCAATATTCTTCTTCGCGGCCCGCAAATGAAACTCGAATGGAATGGCTCTGGACCTGGTCAATAAATAAATACGCAAAAGTAAAATATATACAGGCAGATGAAAATGCAAACGTATACACAAGGCTGAAATTGTGCATGAAAAATATGAAAAGACTTTTTGGTTAACGTATCGCCTACCATTTTCCCCCCAAACTCCCAACCCCCATTCACCGTTCACCTCCGGTTTTCCCCTCGAGTTTCCCGAGCTGACAATAAATGTCATTTAGTTGCGGGGAACAAGGGTTCCGAGGTCCTGCAGCTGCTCAGCTGCATGGCAATGCCAATAAAATTTATTTAAAGCAAATTAAGGCTCCAATGGCCTGCGAATGATTTGTGTCCCGAGTCCAGGATCCAGAATTCAGCGTTCAGCATTCCAGCATCCAGCATACAGCATACAGCATCCTGCATCCTGGGAGCAGGACCTTCGGCTAATCGGACTCGTGCAGATATCCCTTGGGGATTAAGTTTCATTTACAAGTTAAGCCCAATTGTCAGTAGTCCGAATTAAATGTTTTCAATAATTTAGGGCTTTCATCGTCGTGTTTTGTTTACCAGATAATTTGAGGCCAAGTGAAAAGGTCGCCGGCTCCTTTTGATTGTGTTGCCACAAAAATATCGATTCAAAACACACGTATGCTCGGCCACTTAAAGCCGCCCAATTAAGCCATCTCCGGCAGACCAGGCTTAAAGCGTCCCCAAAATAGCGATGCATTTAAGTCATCAGCTCCAGAAAACAGCTCAATTATTTATGGAATAAATGCAGCTTAAATTCTGGGGATTTTAAACTTGTTTTCCCGGCACAAAGGCGACTTATTAAAATTCAAATAAAATGTGTGCCCAATGTGTAAACCGTATGATAAATGCCTGAAATTCGAGATAAGGCTGCATTCAAATTGCATAATCTGCTTCCATTGTGTTGTGCGTCTTTCGGCTCCAGTTTTTACCCAAAGTTAATTGAGAAGTGTAGTTTAATTTCTGGCCTACGAGTGCTGCCCTAAGTCGTTCACAAAAGCTGGCAAATGAATTTTCACTTATCGCAGCAGCAAATCAAATGAAATGCAGACTCTGTTTGTGAAAAATAATTTAAAGAGAAAGTTCTTTAACAAAATTGTGTGTGTTTTTATTTGGAATCTGGAATCCCTCGGGAGTTTCAGCACAAAATGTCTGTTATTGAACATTTTTTATAAATGCAGGCTTTTATTTTGCGCAAACTAGTTTTACTATTTTTGGGTTTTTAATTATTTTTTGCGAGAAAGTACAATTAGTGTGGCAAATTGAATACTCTTTGCTATATTTTTGCAATATTTTAAATGATGTAAGGCATCTGCACAATAAAATTGTGTTAAGAAATGCATTTAATCTTATACATGTGTTCTCTGTTCAAAATATTGTGTAATGCTTAAATAACTTGTTGTTTCCGCTTAAACATCTTGATAGACCGTTTAGCTTTTAAGTTGCTTTCCAAATTCCTTTTGCTGGCGATGTCTTCATTAGCTTCGATCTAATATTAACTTGGGCCCCATATGCAAACATGTGAGGGCTGGGGGAAATTTTCAATTACGCCCGTGACATGACATAAAACGTAAATTAAGCCTGGAACGTCGGAAAAGGAAAAGAGGGCGGGGGAGGGGAAAAGAGGGAGGGTTGTAACGCTTGATTTGCTCTGACATAAGTGGAGGTCCTGTTTCGGAGTTGTTGGACTGGCTGGTCGCCTTATTGTTACGCCTACAACGAAGCCATTCCGGCATTCCTGGCATTCAACATTCGCCATTTGCTGCTCGAGGTTTTTCCAGCCATCTCCTATGTGAATGTGCACAAGTGTGTGTATATGTGTGTGTGTGTATGTGCGTGTGTGTTGGCCAACAGCGACGAGTGCATGTTAAGTGCCTTATTATCCTGTTTATGTAACCGTGCAGTTTTGTCCGGGAGAAAGAGCGGTCACATGTCCCTCTGCCGTTGTGTTTTCCATTTTCATGTTTTATTCAGGCCTAGTTTACAAATTGTCGCAACGGCTCCGTTGGACGTGGCCAGCACAAAATGAATATTTTGAATACAAATAACTTAAAGCGAATGGACTCGTTCGTTCTTCGACCAAACCAAACTGCTCAATTCAACAGGAAAAAAAAAAAACAAAAATATAAAAAGAGAGGAAAGGAAGCCGAACTTGTTGCCATGTTTTGCGAGTAAATAATTCCGGGGCCAGAAATAGTTTCAAGTTCACTTCGGCTCAAGGAGAAACTTCAGGGCAACCAAATTGAGGTTTCCGAAAATTTGTTTCTGTTTTCGGGCCGAGTCTAAGCTTAATTAAAGTGTCTGCTATTTACACTTTCAGGAAGGAGAACAAGTTAAAACTAACCGACATTACAAACTAGCCAACATTGCCAACTAACCGACATTACAAATTTACTGAACTGTCGGAAAAAGAATTTATTTTTAAAATAGTTCTTACAACTTTAATGCCTCTGATACTTACTTGAATTACAAATTTGTTTAGGAAGCATTTAATAATTCAATTACTTGAAAATTTAATAGATTTCGTAGTTAATAGCTAATTTTACTCTTTTTTCTTTGATTATTTATGAATGTAAAATCTGGCAAAAGACCTAAAAAACTTATTTTGATATTCCACAACCAATTGGGGATATCCCATTTCCCTCAATATAAATTCTCAATCGCTGATCGATTGAAGTCTTCACCTTTTCCCACTTCGATTAGCAGCTGCTGAAAAGTTTTCCATGACCAAGTTTGCACTCTGCACACTGTTTTCCACCCCCTGCTAGTGTATTTATCATGATTTAGATCCGGACGTAGAGGAACTCCGTAGCCGGGATACTACGGCCATTGGCATTTGCTTGCCTTCGGTTTTTCTCTTTCTTTCATTTTCTTTCTCTTTCTCTCCCTTAAGCACTTTAGTGCAGGCTAATTACAAAAAGTGAAAACACAATTCATTTTGCTTGTGGTTTATGCGTTTTCTTTGCCGCCCCGCCCACTTTTCCGTCCGTCGCCGCCTTGCAGCGTTATAAAAATGTTTATGGCTGACGTTTGTTGCCATAAAAATGCGAAGTTGTCGGGGCTACCGTTGCGAATGCGATTACTTGACGACCAGAAAGGTCACTCAGCCGTGGCCATCGCCATTTCCATTATAGTTCTTGTTGTTGTTGTAGTTGTTCTTTGGAGCCGTGTCCTTGCTGCCACACCAAATGCCACACGCTCCCACACACCCACCCACACACACTCACACTCCCAACCACTCACGTGTGTGTGCTGTATTTATGGCATTGTGTTTGTTAATAACATTTGCAGCGAGTGCATTCCATCTCTGACGTAATACCCCAAAGGGCTCTTTCCCACCGCTTCCCGCTTCCCTCTGCATTTATGGCCAATACAAGTGCTGCCGCATTCCCCTTAAAGGAAACTGGATGGATTGCTTAGTATAAAGTTTTTCAATTAAAATATATGTATAATAATTACATTTCAGGGGGTTCCAAAGCTTGGATATTTACTAAAAATTCTTTGAAATGAAACCGATCTAAACTTTGAAGTTCTCAAATTTATAGTGAAATGTTAGGTAATTGTAAGATTACCTTTCTCATTTTTTATTCCAGTATGCAATAATATTTTCAAACACAGAAATACGAGGTATTTTACCACAATAACTCCGGATTTTCTCTCCAGTTTTTTTTTTTGCAGGGTATTTTTCCCGCTCGAATCCCCCCTTGAAACTCTGGGTGGCCCTGTTGTCCTAATTAATTTAAGTTCACCCCTCCAACTGTCCACCCGCAATCTAGGCACCGCTCACTCATTTTCCACCGCTCTTTCGGTTTCTTTGCAGCACTTGGCCGTGCAATTACGCAGAATGCCGTTTGCCTTTTAAGTTGCATATTGTTCGGCGATCGGAGGGCGAGCTGAGAAGCGTAAGAAGCGGAAGAAGAGCTTGGGAAAGCGCGGAAAAACGGACGTTAAGCAGGCGAGTGGCGAGTGGAAGTGGAAGTGGAGCCAGCGAGCGAACTGACACTGGCAGTAAGTTACGGGCCAAGTTTCGCCGGAGTCGCCGGAGTTGCCGGAGTTGCCGGAGTGGCCGGAGTCGCCTTGTCGCTGGCGCAACTGGCATAACTCAGAGCTGATGAAATATGGAGCTGCTGCAGGCCCTCTGCTGTACGCTGCTCCTGCTTTTGGCCCGGATGCAAGGTGAGTCCTTCACTTCAAAGTCCCCCATCCCCCCTGTTCCCCATCCATCCCATCTTTCCATTCTGGCCGTGTGACATCATGCTGCTCCTCCATTCGCCATTTGGTTAATATTTGCCCGCTGTCAGCGCATCCGCTTTGATCTAGTCAAAAATTGAATAATTCGCCACCCCCACACCCCCCGAAGTGCCACGCCCATGCCGGCACGCGGGCACGCCCCTTTTGGGGTCAGTGTCAACCGTGTCAACGATATGGGATATGCAAATTTTCCACATCAACCTGACACGAGCTTGCATAACTTGCAACACTGCAAGTTGGGCAAACAACAAGTAGAACAACATCGGCATGAGTAGTGGCAACAACGAAATTAATGCACTGAGCGCAAAACTATTACACAAAATAGAGTATATTCAAATAATATTTCTCTTAGGATGTATAATATAAATATTATCTATAATATTCAACTATATGCTAAGCCTATTTAAGCCCAAAAAGGGTTCACATTAATTAAGATGATATTTTCCTATTTAATTTGCATTTCTGTTTAATGCTTTCTACAAAATGCAGTGCTTGAAAACAGTTTTCATGTCCAGTTTTGTGGCTTAACGAGTGTCTTTTGTGCTTGGCAAACTCTGCCATGCTTAATAATGATTTAAAGGTGATTCTGCGTTATTTATTCGTAGAGCTAGTCCCAAATTTATATTTTTCCTACCGTGCACTGGCTTGCAGTCACGTCCTGCGATAAGCTTCCTGTGCACTTGGGGATAGTTTTAGGGGGGTTTTGGGAGCGCCGCCTGCTGTCTTATCAATGCCACAGATCTGTCATCGTAAATTCAACATTAATTGCGGAGCGGAGGCGCCACCGCCCAATGGCACAGATAATGAGCAACAGAATAAATAAATAAATTGCAACTAAAGTGGGGATGGGGGAGCCCCGAATTACCAGAAACGGATGCAAGTGGCCAAAAAGTTTGCACATTAATCGAGGCTACTTAGCCAAAAGTTGCAGGAGGAAATCAGAGGGCTTTCGGGCGACAGGAGCGTCTTCATTTGCATTGCGACTGGCCAAAGCCAATGAAACTCGAATCGATAGATGCAAATGCGTAAAACTTTTTAATGCCGCGCGCACAAAATAAAGGAGATTCCATTTCAAATTTGATCAAATTTTTAAATTAAACGAAATGGCAATTGAAAGATTAATATTAAAGCTAGTAACCCCGAGGGAATTAATCTAAAGAATGTTGAACAGATATTTAAATACATTTTAGGACATGGAAAACCATACTAAAGTTTTGCTGCAGCTTTTATTTCAGTGTAAAACATGAAAACCTTTTGTAAACCATATTTTTTGACAAATATCCTTCTATGTCAGTTCCAAATGTGATCTAAAATTTGAGCCGACGGCTATGACCTACAGACTCCCACCCGCCACTCATAAAAGTTGCAACTGCTAAATATTTACTTGCAGCGGCCGCCATAACTATGAACCGACTTTAAGGCCCGTCACAGACATATATACATATGTATATACATATACATAGACTATATAGGTGCGCTGCATTTCAAACAATATATAGACAAATATATGGCCGGCGGCCTCACGAAAATTCAGCTCGTTGAAAAAGGCACAAGAACTAGGATGGCCCAAAAAAAAAAAACGAAACTATATATATAGTATATATATATATATATAGGAAAAACGAAAATATCACGAAGATGAGGAAGACGAAAAAAATGCAAAAAGCAGCAGGGAAAAAGAAATGTTCATGCAATAAATTCACGTTGAAATTTTGCAATAGTTGCGTCTGCGAGTTGCAGCAGTAAACGCTCGAGGAGAAGAAGCAGGAGCGGCTTGAAGAAATAAAAAGGGGGCTGGAGTGGGAGGTGGGAGTGGGTTTAAGGACCCCCTAAGCCCAGTCAACCCGACCCCTCCCCTTTCCCCCGAAACCCCCTCCAAAAAACCCGACCATCCCCACTTTGAGTTGAGTGGTTCCTGCTGCTGCTTAATTTTGCAGCACCTCCTGTGCTTAAGTAAACTTTTCCACGGGTGTGGGTGGCAAAATGGACAGGGAAGGGGTGAGGAGGGGGAGGTTGGTGTTGCAAGTGGGCGGTGGCGGGGTGGAGTGGGCAGACTCGGCTGGCCAGCGATAAGCAGGCCGCTCTCTGCACAATTTTTGTTTGCCCCATTCGATTAAACTAAACATAAATTTCATGGACGATAAATCAGCCGTGAGCGTTGGGACAGTTGCACCTGCAGCTTGCAACGAGCATCTGGCTCCGCCCCCCGCCCCTGGAAAAGCAGAGGGGGTTCGACTACACCACCCCCGCACTCCCCGCAACCCGCCAACCCACCTGGCACGTATGGGAAATCAAAGAGTGCAGGCCAAATGGCCAGAAATAGATGGGTTAAGTAGCAGCATCTTCTCGGCGCTTAATAAATTAGTTTCCCTATTAGGCTGAATACATTGTATAAAACCCTTCATTAGGCAATTTACAACGCTTTACTGTCGCTCTACTGCTCCCCCTCTTTCGCCGCCTCTGTTTCTGCCCAAAAATCAAATGGCAACGCGAAATTGAAAGAACAATTTCTAAAATGATTTTCGGCTGGGTCGCAGCTGCTGCTGTCGGTTCGTGTCGGAAATAAACAAAATTCCAAAGTGCCAACCGACTGACAGCCAAAAGTTGAATGCCCTACAGTGCGTTGCGGAAGTGTAAGGCACTGCTTGAGCATGTGCGATCAGTAGAGATCAACTACGAAAAGTATTTCATTTAAAAAATATATATTTCCTTCGTCATATTTTACAATTTCCAATTTTAATAATGCGACATGTGAAATGTAAATATTTTGTTGCCTACTTTTTAGGGTTCGAAAATGAAAACAAATCGAATAACTTAACATATTTTTTTTAGGTTTTATGTCCTTGAGAAATCTTATTATTATAAATGTGTGAATTACAGAACATTTGTATGATTTTGTATATTTTTTTAATATTTCCGAGCCAACTATGACTCTCAATTGTCTTCGCTTAATATAACTTTTAGTCGCTCAACTATAAATATACACACAAAAAAAAAGAATAAGTAGTAGCTTCCTTTAGTGCAGATTACCTGTTCTTATTTGGCTTTTAGTCCTCTTTTTATTCTTCGTCTTTTTGGGTCTGGCCAACCGGTCGGCTACGTAATGTGGCACGTAGCTAGCAGGGGAATGGATCTTCGGCCATCGAGAAGGAAGGGGCATTTCCAAAGTTTGTTAGCTCCCGTGCAATGGCCATAACAACAACAACAAAAACAACAAAATTTCTCCTGTCTGTGTGAGTGTTTGTGTGTGTGTGTGTGTTAATGCTAAATTAAGTTGCTGCACGTCGTAGCATATACGGTTGTGTGTGTGTATGTGTGGGAGTGGATGTTTGGGTTTTCGGAAAATGGGAAAATGGCTGGCTGGCTGGCTGGCTGGATGGCTGGTTGGCTTGTATGCTCGACCGCCGGCAGGCTGTAATCCCGAAAACATTAAACTGGCCGCGTCAGGACATTGATTTTCGCTTTCGGCCAATATTTAGCCAACTCTGCTCCTTATCTCTGCATGGTAAGCTCCTCCTCCATCTATATATATATATATACATATATATGTATGTGTATCTGTACTATATGTGCGACGGCTGATTCTTTTCCATCTCCATTGCTGCTTTTGTGCAAATGAAAATTCAATTTGAAATGGAAATTATACTTTTTCTTCACTTATTTTCGCATTGTTGTACTTGTTGTTATTGTTGTTGTTGTTGTTGTTGATGCTTGTTTGCTATTCTCCCCCACCCACTGACTGTTGTTTTGGCCCATGTTTTTTGGCCCTTCTTCAGATTTTTCTTCTCTGCGGGAGTGTGTTGCATTTGGAAATCGTTTCGATTTGGATCTAAAGTGTGTTGTGTGTTTGTGGGACGGACTTCAAAATAACAGATGGAAATATGATTGGAATCGTTTTGGACACGGCCAAAAAAACCTTTAGAATTTCGATTATATAAATGTTTTACCATGTCTAATATTATTTTATCAATTTATTTCCAAGCTATTTAGGGGGTATTAAATACTGCACCTGAAACCCAAAAATGTATGCTACAAATTTTTTATTTTACACCTGCTCACACAAAATAAATTACGTATACGCAGCATGGGCAAAAGAAAAATATGTAAATAATTGATTTTAGTAGTTTTAAATTGTTTTGCACTGAAACAAAATATGAAGACACATAGGTGCAATTTTCTTTAATAAATAAGAGCAAGGAAAAAAACATCAGGTAGGTTTTCAATATGAACGGTTTAAAAAGATACAAATTATATAAAAAAATTTTAATTTTCTTCATGCATATATCACTTTTAAGTGTTCATATTTCTTTCTGTATTTTTGTTTCCGAAAATAGTCGTATATGAATTGGTTCGAATGTGGCAGCAATTGAATTGCTGGCCAAACAATGTCCAGAAATTCTTCTTCATTGTTTATTTATTGAGTTAATCAGTGGGCACAGGGGATGGCGGGTAGGAAAATGGGAGAGAAGAGAGTGTGGGGGTGAAGGTTGAGTGGGTGCTGACTTCTCATGCATGACCAATAATCCTTGAATGGAGACATAAAACAATGGCCGACGAGCATAACATAATTTCCAGCACTTAACCATGGCCAACTGCTGAATTGTTGAACTTACGACCCACCTCCCCCCTCCCCCTCCCCCTTCACCGCATCCCTCCAGCGCTTTTCCGCCATTTGGTGACATTTTCCAACCGTCCCGCCAAAAGCCTCCCACTTTTGTCCTCTCATCCGGTTTTTGGCCTCGGTGGAAGTCGAAGCGGGTCATGCATTTTTCCGCTTCGCTTGTTTTCAAACTGATTTCAATCTGTTTCTGCTGTCTTTCGATCTTCCTTCCTTCCGACTTGCCACTCCTCCCCCGCCCCTTCCCCAGCGGAATCCCCCCACCCTTTCAACCACACCCCCTTTTTGCCCTTTTCGCCTTTTGTTT